ACTGTATTTCTTGCAAGAGACTACCAATTCCTATGGCCCAATCCTCTAATTGCCATGTAATAAAAATGGCACACGCCCCTCCTTTATTGATAAGTTTACTGCAGTTGTAGCTATTTCATTTATATGCCGTGTTTGAACTTTGCTATTTAAAATACAAAAATCCTGTTTGATATGATTATTTGGAAGTGCCAAGTCTAAAATCTGAAAACTGAGTGTCGCAGTTGTTTTCATGTGAGTAGACATCAAAACAAAGGGACATTGTCTGGCTATGAACTCACAGTAATAATGCATCAAAAAAAGAAAAAAAGTTTGCATCAGCTTATATTTTCAGCAAGATAAAGAACTATATTATTCTATGAATAATTTTTAATATAATTTAGATAGAATCTTGTTCTCTTTGAGGAAATCTAAGAGTCCAGCATCTAGACCACAAAAAGGGACAGAGACAGTCTTTAAGACTATGTGTCAGACAACACAGATAATGGGATCATTGACCTGTTGGGCTACTGAAATAAAATTAAAAAAAAAATTGCGAAAGCTGAAAAATCTATACTAAATATTTGCTTTTTCCCAATCTGCTTGAAGATGAGCATTTTAAATTCATGCCAAGATAATAAATCACTTCATAAGCTCATGGTTTTCCTATGTGTAAAACAGTTTACAGGGAAATTCCATTTTATTGAATGGTAATTGATATTAATGCCATTTTCAAAACCAGTTTTTATTTCAGGTCTGCTCCTTCAAGCTTTAATTTTATTTGCTGAAGCTAGGACTCTAAAAGAGTTCTTTGGTTTTCATTTTCATAATTTCACATAAGAGTAATAAATGGTCAAGTAACGTCCAAAATTAGACTAATGAAATCTGGGGATGAACTGGGAGGAAGAATCTGGATTTTCTCCCTTTTTACATGGGAAGTAGACATGAATTATCTGATTGAACATTTTGATTCAGGAGCATATCTAGCCCATGCCTGGTCATAAGCACATACCATTGTCTCATTGGTTTTTTTCCTAAATTTAAACCTCAAGCTCTCGGATTTTGATGAATAACATTGGAATTAGCCACATGGTGGGAAATGCATTGCTGTTAGAGCCTGGTCAGTGATACTCAGCCCTTGTAAAAGATAGGCTCGACAAACCAATCACTCGGCCAATGAACCTTGCAATATATTCCAGTGAGGTTGTTCACACACTGATATGAGTATGATTTTCAGAAGCAAAATGAAAGTAGGTCCATAAATCAGTGTAGAATTTCTTACATTCTCTGGTAGGCTACTAAATTTGGGACAGTACATTTCACACTGAGTAGAAGAGCTTTGGGATGTGATCCTCTATTAATATAAACTGCCATTACTGCATTGACTACACCAGTTGAGAGCGTGGCTGGGTGGCTAGACATCAAAGCCATTCTGAAGAGCTATTTTTCCATTGATGTGTTGGTTGATCTAAACGAGAACCTGCAAGAATTAGAACATTTCAGCTTTGGGTCATGAGTGTACTGAAGAGCTTTTCAGTGGTTAACGCTATGAAATGCGCCCATACTCACCCACATTTCCTATTTCAAATACTGGGATCATTCTCCTGGGTTTTTTTTTTAGGGTTATTTTGGATTGTTTTAAAGAAATTCTATAGAGTAGAAAAAAAAAAAAAGATAAGGATATACACCTCTCTCATAATTCTGCTCCACAGTATTATGATGAAGAGACACATGCTTTCTCTGTTCAGTTCAGAGAAAGGTCAATTTATTTAATTAGCTGTTCTCCCATTTTACTTCAGTGTAACGCTGCATGTGTGAATTTTCACACCAGACTACACTTGGAACTTCATAGGTCAGATATAATTTTTAATTATGTTACAGGTAAACGACTTAGTTCAGAGCCTCCTTTAGGGGGATTACAGACTGTTTCCAAGGCTGGGAACAGATGCAATTTTAGGAATGAACTGTACTTGCACTAACTTGCATCTCTTCTGATTCATTGAGTTCAATGGAACTGCAGGGGTCAGAAGTAAAGCAAAATTTGGACTACCATTTCATCTGTTTCTGTACAACTTTCTTTTATGTCCTCTACATAATTAATTGCCAGACGTCAGAGAAAAAGCTGTCTCATTCACTGTAAAATAGGGGGGTTCATGGAAGAAAATAGTTGTATTAGAGAAACACACAAATGACATTAAGGCTACCTAGTTTGATGTTTTCAAGCCTTTTTCTTTTCCTCTTCAAGCAAGGAGAGTTTCAACAGGATCTGAAGCAATACTCTTTAACAAATAATACACTAGTCTGTCAGATGGTTAATATTAACGTCTCTCTATTCAAACATGCTGAAAACTGAATAGAACAGTTAACATTTAACAGTCACACATCCTTTGCTGAGTACAAGATTGCATCTCTAACATGAACTGAAGATATCCTCACCATTTCAGATCTTCAGCTGTCATTCAATCAAACATTTAATTCTCTTAAATACATCACTTTTCCCCTCTTTCTGGGTCTTTTTGGAGGTGCTCAGTGAACACATTCTCTCCATAAAGGCATTGCTTATGATATGGTACTTTCTCTAACAGAAATCTTGCTGTGTGTTTCCAATATGTTGCCAAAGGTGAATTTGCAGTTTGGTAGATTTGAGGGCGAGAAGGCCTTACATCTGGTTTCAAAATTAAATATTTTGAAACATCTATTTTTGCAGGATTCTGCACTTTATTGGAAAGAGACCATCCCTTGATGAAATTAATGATGAACAATTAATTAATTGTGATTGCACTTCAAAAATTATTCAGAGTTTTATATAATAGCTAGATTTTGTATTACAGATATGTTCACAGGGCTTATGGGCAGAATCAAGCTCACTTTGCTCATGTCCTGAGCTGGTGGGATGTAAACAGTGTTGACAGAAAAATCACACAACTGGAGGGATGCAAAGCTGAGCCTCACCTAATTTACCTCATCTTTCAGAGGGTTTATTTGGTGTGGACTTGGGGCCATACTAACCACAGCTCAGCTCATGCACAGTGAGATTGTGCCTAGCCACAATGTATTGCAGAAACATGTCAAGGTGAGATCACTCCTCACCATGATCCCACCTTACTGCTACAACAAAAGCTCTGTGTCTTTAAAGAAGGGAGTCTGAACAAGGCATGCTCTGTCCTGGGGCATAAAGCATAGTTTGCCCACAAATATATTTATATTGAAAACACACAGCAAATATTACAGCCATAGAAAGTTCTGTAAACAAAACAATTTCATAAACTTTATCTCAAAAAAAAAACCCAAAACACAAAAGAAACCCAAAATAAGACTGAATGAAGACTGCGAAGAGTAATTTTTTTTACTGCCTTAACAAAAAAATTGACATACACCTTCAGCATTTCTTTTCCAAATTTACTTGACAGAGGTTAAAATATTGCTTTATTCCGACTCAACAAACAACAGCACTATGTGATTGATTGTGCTATTTTGGGAAGTCTTGACACCTGTGAACTGGAAAGTCTGGGGCACATTAATAAATTTAACAATTAATCTGCTGCAAAGGAATGTTTTAATACATTCTGTATATACTGTATTTTTTTAAAATCAATTTTCTGACATTAAACAGGGAAGGCTATTTAGCAATTATTTATTATAGTTAATTTTCGTTTTCCTCACGAATAAGCAGATACTTTAATACCAATAAAACCAGATGTGTGTGTCACTGAACTCAATTCATTGCATATAGTGTTACAAAAGAGGGACACAAAGGAAAGCAAATGCAAAAAATGTTTATAATGTGATTGGAATACAACAACAACCAGGAAATGACAGTTCTTCTCTAAGGCCTAGATTCCCCGCAGGGAGTGATCTGCTTTTATATATCCCCATTAGAATAAAATCTGTGCATGCTTGTGTGTCTGCCCATACTGAACCATTTGCAGGATTGAAGCTTTAAAGTTCACAAGCCTAAGCCATGATTAATTAAAGTGGCTGGAGAACTGAAAGCAGGAACAGATCAGGGCAGCGTGGACACCTCTTGGCTGGATTTTGATCATACTGGATCTCCCTGACTCTTCTTTGAACAACCCATAATGAAATACAAGTTTAAAAAATTACATACACACTCAGAAGTACTCCTTGAGAGCTTACAAATACCTTCAAAGTATAACAGTTTAGAAATCTTGAGGGGTCAGTAACAAACAATGGAGTTTATGTTCCCACTCAGAAAAACCCCAAAGCAAAACCCAAACCCAAACCTCTCATAATATACACTTTCGCACTTTCTCTTGTTCTACCTCACTCTCCACCAAGGCAGGCCTGATAGGCAAAGCTCAGAAGATGGAGCAGCCACAGGCTCCTGACCGCTGTGTCTCTACAGACCCCAATCCCACTCCACCCTTGGCCAAACCCAAAGCTCCTAACTGTTTCCATTAACTTTCTTGGGCTGACTTATACATTAAAGTAAGGTGGAGAATTAAGCATCTGGCTCAATTTAGGGATTTATTGTCACTTCGCAGTAGGTATTGAACCTCAGAAGTAGACGTCTCTGTGCCTGTTTCCATGGTATGAACCTGGAACCAAGAGGAGAGGTGGAGAGGGGACTGGGTCTGTGATGGGGTCACAGGACTTGCTCCCCAGGGTCTGAATCCCTGGCCAGCAGCTCACTGTAGGGCTGCCCTGAAACCAGAAATGAGTCTAAGAATGATCTTGGCCTTTACTGAAAAAAAGATGCATAGAATAAAGCCTTTGGACAGCCGAATGGGACTGCGGTACAATGCTCTGTAACTGAAACTGTATGTGTAATCCTGCCTAGAAAGCACCCGATGTACATTTCATCCCTCCTGGAACTTTTCCCTTAAAAAAATATTTTGTTAAAAAACACTATGATATGAGGGCGATTGACTATTTGGTTTCTTCTAAGTAGATGCTCTTAAATTAATGCATATAAATAATTTGTATTTAATTTCCTCCCTTCCTGTTTAGCAAAGCATTGAATGCAGAGATCTCATCTCCCCTCTCGCAAACCCCACACAAAGTCACTTGGTCAATACCGAGTCTCTTTGCGTTTCGCTTTTTAAGACAAATTGTGCCTCTCGCTCTGACTTGGCCGTGGGGCTCATGGGCAGAAAGGCTGTGTTTTCACCCGTGCTGCTCTCTGCTTCTACGCTCGCCAGCTCATAGTCCTCCGACCGCCTTGCGTCCGTCAGAATCCGAATCTGCTCCTGCACAGTTTCTAGCAATATTTTCACTTCGTGTTGTTCTGCTATAAGACAATTACTGACTGGGGAACTCACATTGACAAGTTCAGCTGAATAGGAGTTTTTGCACCATTTGATGCCTGTTACTTCAGAAACATTTTGCATTTGCATGCAGGCTTCGTCCAAGCCCACAGACGGGATGATGGGAACGGAGTTGGCCCTTGAAGATGAATAGCCGACCAAGTCCTTCTGATCCACGTTATTAAAATAAGGGGTTGTCTCTCTTGAAGGCAGTTGCATATTTATTGAAGTGTTCTGAGGAGTCTTTAAACCACTGGATGAATACCTGGAAAGAGTAAAAAGAAGTTTTTGTTGTACATCAAGCGATCGAATGCAACTGGCAGCAGGAACACTGTATGAGATTCAGTGAACTGTGCTGAAAAGACATATGTCATTTTTCCCTCACACTAGGAGCACTTGGTAATAGTGTGGCCCTGGGGAAAACAACAGACTCTGGAAAGCTGTTTTTGATTCTCAGATCTACTGGTGGCAAACCACTGCTTTTCACTCAGTCTCATTTTGCCCACCAGTATATCAGGATAACGACAATTCCTTTTTAAAAGATGTCAGAAGTATTATTAATTTTCTTAGAAATTAAATTTGAAATTCCATTCCTATGTTCCTAGCTGGTGAAATGGATTGATGTTTTCTTCAACATCAGAACTCTCAATGTCAAATGGCTATTTTAGGAAAGCACTTTAAAAAGGTGCAGGAAAAAAGTACTTTAAACAAAACATGGTTGTGTAGTCTATTTTACACATAAATGATTGTCTGTGTTCCCCTTCAAACAAGCGGAGTATCTAAGTGCAATGTACCTCTGGAAAACATGTATTTATTTCAATAGCCCATACTCCGAATGTTGGCCTGATTTGTTTTCTTAGATCTCATCTGCAATTAGAGCTAATATATTGGGCTTGAGCAAATGTCTGTGTTTTCCCGATATTGTAACCCTGTGTTTAAAAAAAAAAAAATTCTTTATCCTCCATTAATACATATCATAGCATGATTTCATTTATTGTGAGGCCACTTTGGTGAATTTTTATCAACATTTCCATTTTTTTTTCCAAAGACAAATTAAATATTTTGATCTGAAAGTGTTTTTGTTGAAAAACAGAAATGGAAAGTATACTAACTAGAAACTAAAGGAAACAATGACCAAAAAAAAAAAAGATGTTTCCCATCTGAGTAGTAGCATTAATAGAGAAATTTCGTGCTCTAAGAGTTTCTACTAGTCATGATTGCCAAGGACCACAGACATCATCACAGTACCGAAACATATTTTACTTATAATCAGCTTTGTGACCATATCACTGTTTAAAAAGGCACGCTAATGGTGAAATGTAATATGTTTTATCCATGGATGAGGAAAGCAACATTTAGACCTGCTGTGGAAGCAGGTACTTTGAGCTCTGAGTTGAAGGATATTTTTCTGAAATCTGCTTAAGCCTGCTGGACTTCACTAGGGATATCCTTCTACTCATATGTGCCTTGCTGCTTTTTGGCATTAGCAGAAAGAGAACTAAGGAAAAGAAAGTGAACTGCATGAAACAGCCATAGCCCAATATTAGGGCACAATCTAATTAAGTGGAAAGGATTCCTTTGGCCCTATCCTCCTGGCAAGCTGTCAGACAGGAGAGAGAGGAGGGGATATCTTCAGGCTCATTTCCAGCAGAGCATCTCTGACTTGTAATTAACTCGTCTACGGTGGCACTGTGTTTGTGCAACTGCTTGACACATTAACCTGTACATGCGTGCATGCGGTTCTGTGCAGCCCTGGTACAGAAACTCTCCAGGCATCCCCAAAAGACCAGAAAATGCAGCTGGGAGCTCTGTGATAAGGAGGAGGTGTTGTGGTCTTTGCTGTTATCTGATGGAAAGAGATGCTTTGGGAAGTGGGACTCAGGGCATAATATAGCAAACTTTTTTTTTTTTTTTTTGATATGTGCTAGGATTTCTTATACATGTTATACAGCTGCAGTTATGTTTTACATCTGAGACAGCTGAAATCAGCTTTTGGTTAATTACATTTTCACTATGCTTAGACACATTTGTAGCCATTACTGGAGGGCCTTTTTAGAACAGTTTTCAAGAATCACTTATGAATGAAATACTGATCTGGGATACTATTCCTGAGGGAGGACAATTAAAAAAAAATAAATGAAAACAAAACAGTGCAGACCTTTGGGTTGTGCCCATTCTTGTTTCCTTTGCTTATTATACAATTGTTCAAACGACTATAGCTGGAGAGATCGCATCAGTTGCATTATTCCCTTTTTTGGTAATTCAGGCCCTAAATATATTCTGGGCTGCACCCTGAAAACAAAGGGAGTGAATGTTTTTAATGAATTTCACATGCAATGAATGTATTATATGGATGATATATAAGCAAAAACAAGAAAAGAGTGAATTAAAATGGGTTTGGTGAGAAAACAGTAACATTTGCCAATTCCATAATAGAGATTCAATTATTCTTGGTATTTCAAAAACTAATTGTCAGCAACACTAACATGTAGCACAATGCCTTCCATATTTCCATAATATTTTTTGAAGTACAGATAGACACACCAATTTTATGCCAGAATTACATGTTTCTGCCGTGTGCTCACAGGGCTTTCAAAGGAGGACTGAGGTTGAATTAAAGCACATACACTGTGTGCGATACGCAAGGTATTATACTAGTAGGGATATTGCATCTAAACCATGTGAGACTCAGCTTTTGGATAACTACAAACTTATCCATGCTTCTACTTGTGACACCACACTGCTGCTGTTTTCACTAGACTGAGATTTAGACATATAACTGCAGAATCTTAATCACATTTTCTATAATTAAATTTCCCAGAACTAAGAAAGATATCTGGTTTTTATCTGAAAAATTAGTTTGTCTGAATAAATTAATTCATGTAGATGTATTTCACAGTGCAGCTCTCTCTCCACCCTCTTCCTAAAACCAAGCAAAAAAAGAAACTTAAACATTTATAAATATGCAACAGCAATTATATTATGGTCATACAGCATTTAAGAGTCTGAATTAAAGAATGAAACTGAAAGAAGCTTAATAATTTTACTGCCCCCTTAAAATTGATATTAAAGAGGGACAGAAGAGATTGGAACTTAAAATACAATATGTTTTTTTGTCTAGCATGGTATCAACAGTTTTGCTATAAGCTGTATTGCTATAGGTGTTCAGTATATGAGCCTGACGACAAGGTCCATTAAGATGAATGTGAGTCATTCCGGTGGCATTACCTGGCTTCTGTTCAGCCTTGTATATACCTATATATACACACCCATTTTCTACCTGCAGATAGGACTTATTAGGTTTTGTCTATGTAAGCACATTTCTATCTGTATATGTACACATTCACAGGCTATAAGGCACGACTTACTAACACTTCCCACCGTGTAACGCAAACCGCTGTCACTGAAAGCAGGCGATCAGACTACGGTCCACTTAACTGCATGTAAACTCGTGACACCCTCCGGGACTCAAACCAGTCTCCAGGATGTGACTGGCATGGAGATGGTTTGTTTTCTTTAAGCCTCTAATTTCAACCATGTTTTTCTACTCCTTCAAATAGCATACTGATTAAATAACTGATATTAGCTGTATTTGACTCAAACTCTGCAAGTATTAGATCTTGTTGTGTATAATGAGATCTGGTGTTTCTCAAAGGCAGCAAAAGCTTTCTTCTCAATGTGGGATGGGAAGAGGAGCACTTTTAAAGGACTAGGCAAAAAACTAATCAGATAAATTAGCCTATTTAATATCTAATATAAACATATAAAATTTGACTAAGCTTCAGGCAGAGTTGCTGATGGATGAATTTCAGAAAGCCCACAGAATTAGGGAGATAAACCACTTTGATTTGTGCATCCCTATAGACAAAGATGGAGGTAAAAAGGGAGAAGAAAGGAAGGAATGTAACTTCTGTAGGGGACAAGGGAACTTTTCATTTGGGCTGGAAATTTAATGAGAGTGAAACTAGCAGATATTTAGATGGTAAAAAGCCATCTGATTTTGGGGAAACTTCTTCCTAAGTTAGAAGAATTCCACATAAAGTAGAATTAGTGAACTATTTTTTTTTCTGTTGAGAGTTTAGATTAATACTTATATTTTGTTCATTGCTGCAACACAAACTAACTTGCAAAAAGTTTTGTTACACTCTTAAAAGACTTCATTTTCATAAAAAACATCATCAGTAAAACATTGTAATTTAACAAGATCACAGAATTGCTTTTGTTTTCATGCCTAACATTCACATTTTTAAAATTAATTCATGAGTACCAGTTGAAGACTTTTGGTACCATGTCTGTGATATACACAGACTGCTGTGACTCCCAGTCACAACACCACCTCTTGATGCACTCAGAGGACTCCTTCAGAGAAAGGTCCCACCACTAGAGTTGATATTAGGAAGGTCTAATTCTACAGACATACCTAGTGGACAAAATACAGATGACATGCTTTACTGGATTGAGGCCAGAAGGGGTCACAGGCTGGTCCAAACATCAACCTTTTGCAGAAATGCAAACATAAAATATAGGCCAATACAAGATGATACTTGTAGTATCACACACCAGTTTCCTAGAGAAGAGTAAATACAGCTACCCACAAGACAGCTTTGCTATCTTCTGCCTCACTTCTCAACCTCGGAAGATGCTGCAGCACCCTCCGGAGCCCGTATGGCAGGATGCTGCCACTGAAGAGGGAAAGCTGTGAGCCTGTGCCCATTACAGGAGGGGTTGCATTTGGAGTCACAATCTTCTTAAGGAATTATAAACACGTTATGATACAAATGAGCAATAATATATTTACTGCAAGAAGCAATAAACAAAATTTTCCTTAGAAGCAGCAAATAGTAACAATGAAAGAAGTACGACACGAATCTGTACTTGTGTGTGCACACATGCAAAGACACACACATGTAATGACACTTGTCTCAGTCGGCACTTGTGGATTTCATTTCCCAGGAGGTCAGTGTGGATAGTGATAATAACTCCGTTCTTCCCTGAGGAAAATTAAACACACAGTTGACCTCAGTTCTGCACTTCATAAAGCCAGTTCCAATACCAAGATGTACAGCTGCCTTTTCACAGTGTAGCTGTTCACTTTGCTGCACTTAATTGTGACTTGCACTGTCCAAATGAAACTGGTGGTGTTTTATTCTGTTCCAGACATTGCTCCCAGTTTTACACATAATCTGTTTATAGTGATTCTGGAGAGTCTTTGGAAATGTATAGGGATATGTAAATATTATGCAAAATATCTCAGCAATTGCAAAAGACTTCAAAGGCAGCTGTAGCTGCTGAGGAGCACTTCTGAAATTCAGACTTTATGTACAGCTGGAGCTCACATTCAATATTCTAATAAGACGAATTAAAAAAGGAAAAATATTGGATTCTTTGTGCATTTTCGAAGACAAACACATGTGAAGTGATCAGTCTTCACTGCAAACACACTTCACAATGTACATAGGTTTATTTAAAAAACATGAAAGTTGGACTGCTGAATTATTTTCTCTTATTTGTCCAGTGATGATGGAAGAAAAAAAAAATGCTATGCAAAAGTTACTAGAACTGCACCTCATAGCACTGCTAGAAAAAACATTAGTTATAAAGAGTAACGTTGCCAATCACTTACAGTTTGTTCTGATCTCTCCTTCTACAGCCTTTGAAAGGCTTAAAAAGAGCAGCCAGCCAAATAAAAACATATTACCTTCAAAGAGCTGGTATGCTGAAAACATTCTTCAGCTTTCAGTACTATCAACCCTGGATCCACAGTACACTATAACAGTTGGAAGGACTGTAATGGCAAAGCATATTAACCATGCAACAGCAGCTGCTCACAAATTGTCTCACTTCAGTTATGTTGTTACTTACCCATGACAAGGTACTGTGTCCTGGTCTGTGATCCTTGACTCTTCTAGCTGTTGATATGCGGGTCCTGTAATTCCATTGAACCTACCCCGAGGTAAGGGAGGAGTCCTCCGAAAGGCATTTCTATGTAGCATCCCACTTTTTTGTCCTGGGCTGCAGCATGAAGAGAGATTTCTAGAAACAACACCAAGAGTACAGTAAAAATTATCACAGCAGAAGTGTAAGCTTCAGCAAAGTAAAGATTCAGGATTAATAATGCATGGATTATTGTTTCTATAAACTTTGCTGTGGCAATCTATGACGTCAGTAGAAATTCCCTATGGAAATATATATAATCCACAGTTAGCTGCTGTTTATGCCATATGTAATACATCACCTCTCTGCTAGGAATGAAAATAATTGCCTGGAATATTAAATGTTTTCTTGTACTTGACGAAGGATGCTTCTTTTTTTCCATTATGCATACCAGAATCCTCCTATATGCAGTTGACTCCTCTGACAGTATAAATAAACTGCACAGCTCCATCATACCTATAGCTGAGCTCAAAATCAGATCTTAGATTTAGAGCCCATTGCATCATCTATCAGCCTAGGGGGTCCTGCTTTCTGATACCACAATATTAAATGCAAGTGAAGAATATAAGTGAAGTTTATGAACCACAGCTGGAAGAAATAATCTATGACACAAGTTTTCTACACATTGAACAAGATTTCTTTTCTATATAGTTTTATTCTTTGTTTACAGACATTGATTGTTTTCATCTTTATACATAGATAAATAATGTGTTGTTTCTTTTTGTGATATAATACACACTTGAATATGATAAAACCAAGTAATCGTTTTCTACTTATTCCAGAAAAGTGCTTTTGTAAACAACATTTTTGTACTGTTTCGGAAGAATAATTTTTTTCTATTTTTTGCAGGAATTAAAAGGTATCTAGAATCCACATAGTTTTGGTATATTAACCATAAATTCAGCTGTTGCTAATGCAGAAATAAGGAAACACAGAATTAAGGCAAGACACAACCTATTCCTACCGTAAACAGGTCACAGTACTGCACGGGATGACTGGCTATTCATTTTCCAGCTATTCCTATTTCTCTTGGCATCTCCTGGGTCTCAGAAATGCATATGTATTACCTAATATTCTGTCACAACCTTAATGATGTTTTAATGTAAGTTTTGTAGATGCATTTTAAGAATCATTAGTTTTGGTTATGTGAATAATTTCAACTTCTGATACATTTCATCTATTCAAAAGACTTTTGGTAAGTTTTATTCTCTTTTCCTATTATAATGTGACTTAAAAGCCATCTACATTTTACACCTAGTGGGAACTTTATTCATAGTTAAGGCCACATATACTCCAGAGGCAATTCTTGCTTGGACCAAATATGTTGGACAAACTGTCTTGGAGCATATATTTCCATCAAAACCAATTTTTTCTCCCCAAAGTCAAAACATAAGAAGGAAATTCAACAGTCTCTATCCTACTGCTCAGATTAGCAGTCTTTCATCATGGTCTCTGCTCCATTCTCTTCCACAATTTTACTTTTGTGGTGCTTTTTAATTGAAAAGATCAATAAACCATAGCCATAGCACTCCCTCAAGGATTTTTGATGGTTTCTTCAGTCGATTTTTCCTTAGCTATTAAGGAGGCTGCAAAATAACTATTTTAAAACTGAAGTACTGGCTTTTCAGTTCTGAAGGCTGAGTTCAAGTTGTGAGTTACAGTTCATATTCTGAAAAAAAAACCACTACCACATCACAAAAAAATTGAATATTTCTGCTCAGTAGAGTCCGAGATTATTACAGCAGGGGATCTTAAAGATGCAGCTGAATGAATAATTTGTGATGGACAATGAATTTTAGGTTTTTTTTGTTGATTGCAGTATATTCATCAACGTACTACAGAAGTCAATGAACTGATTAATTTAACAGACTTTAGACTGATTGCAAATATTTGAAACTAGAAAGACAATGTTTAATTGTGGTTGGTTTGATGCTCTTGTGCATCTTCCTTGCTGGATGAGAGCACATGGTCTCCCATCTAATACCATGCACATGCAAATTCACAAAAGCTCTGCATTTGTAATGGACATAACTGCAACACATACGGTATATATTGAGATACTGGGCATAAACTGCAGCAAAGATGTGTATAAATGCCCTATCTGTACTTCCTTCAATTCCCACTGAAACTCTCATTGGTACATCTAAAACCAGGCACTACACACTTCTAAAGGTGATGGGCTGGTTAGACTGCAGGGATCTGGCATATGCCAACATCTTCCTGCAACCACAGCAGCTCCAGCACCAACTGAGCTTAAGCAACTGATCTGTTGCTAACGTGGGGTTCTTATGCTTTCAACATTTCTGACCAAAGAAACAGAGGGGAAAATGAACAAAAATTGTTTGTGGTCATGGACAAGACAAATTCACTACGAAGGACCAGGATATGTTTACAGACAGTGTGGCTGCAAGCTGCAGGATAACGCTCATTTCTTGAAGCATCAAAGACAAGGTAGTAACAATTTTCATTAAAAGTTTTATGAAAAAGTAACTCTGGCATAATAAAGTTTTTCTTTTTTCACAAAACTGCTAGGAACATCAGCACACTCTTCCTCCAGAAAATAGAGTCCCTCTCAGGCTTTTGCTATTGCTCACGTAAAGTGTTCCTCTCTCTGAGGCAAACAATGACTTTTGGATTTCCTCAAGGAATTTATCTTCCTTTAGCCACCATTATGGTTTCTTCCTCCCTGTACTCAAGTCTAACTGGGTAAAAGAAACCAGCCCATCTAACTGAGCTGTTCAATAAAACAGACCAATAAGGAAAGCTGTAGCAGATACGTCTTTAAGATCCATTAAGCAATTACTATATTACAATAACAAAAATCAGAATCTGCTTGAACTGTTTCACAAGTAATGCACAAACTAGGTGGAAATACAGTTATGAAGAATTAGTGGTTTGAAAGAAAAAGTTCAACCATCCCTAAAGTTAATTAAGAACTTGGAATTAATTGATGCAAATTGTTTTGTGTGAAGATTTTCTTTATGTTGAGCAACTAAGTGAAAACAAAATCCGGCCCGGTAAGTGGAATACTCTCTTCTCAAGGCACATAAGCAGCTCCCAAGTGCAGTTAACTGTGTTCATGAAGACGAGAAGACTTGCAGTGAATTTACAGTAACCCTGGGAATCCCTCCGTATTACTTTTTAGTTAATTACTAAACAAATTTGATTATACATCACATTATGAACACATCCAGAAGTAACTCTGTCAGCAGCAACATGAAAGGCATTAACAAGAGGATGACAATTAAAGTGTTAAAACTTTAGACAGGTTTCCAACCTTTCTATTCTTGTTTAACAAGCATAACGGAGCTAAAGAAATAGTGCTTACAAACATGGTTGTATTTTACTTATCTATATAATCCATTATCTATGTTATCTATTTTACATATTCTTTCCCCTTTTTCACAATTGTAATTCGCAAAAGAAAGATGCAAAGTTGAGGGAGGAAGGATTACTCTAAAAATTATTGTAAATACTCTGTCTCTATATCTGCAAAAAATACAGAGAGGCATATTATATTACATACTATATTACCTACTAATCACAAGATGCAAACATTAGTGTTGAAGACATGGGTTTTTCCCCTGCAAGACAGAAACAATAAATACATACCACAACGACAGAGCTAGCTGCCAGATAGACAGTGTCTTCTGGTGTTCTCTAGGAGCCACATTTTTAGGCTAAGTTAGACAATCTACCGCTAACATTTGTACAGATCAACTATTTAGTTTTTTGACCAATCTTCAGGTTTAATAAAAAGGATCTGTTACACCTGACAACATAAGCATCTCACAATAAATACCATGCAATAATAATAACACTGTATCGCGAAGGACTGTTTACAAGAACGAGACCACACACAATGACCACGTCTCTTTTGGAGCCTGTGTTATAGATGGCTCCCCAAAGGGATAAAGTTAACATAATGTTTGGGACTTCAACAAAGCTGTATGTGATTAAAATAATACTAAGATTGTAAGGAGATTATTATGCCAAAAAAGCTGTGGCATAAGAGAACTGAACTTAATAGTTTTGTCCCTTTTTTCCTCTGTATCCCAAGCATCTAAACACCACTCCTTCCCGTACCTTTGCAAAGTAATCACGTACTGTCTCAGTGCATGATTACTGTCTAGGAAAACATCTCATCTCGAATGGCACAATGACCTGTGTTTGCTAGTTTGTTTTCATTAATTGTTACAGCTGGTCAGGTTCTCAGCCCAGGTGATGGACCGGGACTGCAACCTGCTGTTTACAAACCATCTTCTCCTTTCATATGTGTAGGAGAAACTTTCCAGCAGCCAGCCTATACCTACAAATCTACTCATGATTTCTGAAATAGGATCACTGTTGCTTTCATTATATAGTCATGTATTCAGGGATAGCATGTGCTGAGGCTGATCAGGGACTTTGCAACTCTACATAAATCCTTCAACACTACCTATACCACCTGATCACCATGCCAGTTCCACCAGGTAGATACATACAATAGGAAAAGGGAACAGAGCATTCAGAGGCACCTCAGTGACATCGAGTTTAATCACCTGCCATAACTTCATCGTATACTCCCTTTAGTGCATTGATCAGCTTCCATCCTAAAACTACAACTATATCCAGACTACTACTCCAGAAAGTTGGTCTATATTAAAAACTTTGAGGCTTCTTTTCAGTTTATATTTACTTATGATGAATATACATCTGTTTGTCATATGTGGCACCACACTCCTTCATTTTAAATAGGTCTTCATGTTATGCTTTCTCTGATGTATTTATAAGAGGCAGTCATATACTCTTTTCAGTCTTCTGAAATGAAGACTGAAACGAGACAGACTCTCTAACGCTTTCTGTGGAACACAGATTATTAATTCCTCATATTAGCTCATGAATGCAATTTGAGTCCATAGCAACCAGGAGTCCATTTTAACCAGGTGAGATAATATTGGTGTATTCTCATGTTATAATCAAATGACGTTACGACAGTGTCTCATGAAGAGGTTTTAGTGTTTCTGACTTTCTGACGGAAATGTCTTGATTAATACTTCCTTTCATCTCATTTATCTTTTGCACAGCTGCAAAACTTTGTGACTTGATTATCCTTTGACCAAGTAGTATATACTGAACCTTTTTCTTCCTCATTTGTTTCTTAAATTTCTTTATTAGTTCCTAAATGCCTGACCTTGTATTTAGTACTATTGAGCTTCAAACCACCTCTGTTATGCCACTCTTTAAAGTTATTCTATTCATTCTTTATATCTGGATCCTTGTGTACTGAGTGTATCTTTTAACTATTTTTTTCAGTATGTTTCAACTTTTTTGTGCCAAAGTTATGCACAAAAGCATTAAACACAATTGGTCCTCAAAGCTGAGTAATTCTTTCAGAGCTCCATTAGTGCTTCACTCATGAATGTCTTCAGCTAGCACTTACCTTCTCAACACAACTCCTTACTATCTCCCTTTTAACCACCTCTGTATATCTGCACTATCATTTTTCTGTCTCTCCCTACTTTCTCCCATTAAAGGCATTAGACAGATGTGACAACAAATCAAACATTGCCTGAAGCTGGGTAGAGATGTAGCTCACCTATATCAAATATAAAGTAAGTCATCAGTGTAGTATTGCAGGAAGTGCTGCGGGTAAACTTCATGATAATTTTTAGCCTTTTTTACATCTATCCAAAGAATATGCTTCCCCCACTTTGTCCTAAAGCCTTGACTAGTCTAATTCAACATAATAGGTCTTCAGTTCCTTCAATAAATTTTTCCTCTTCCTAAATATTTGACAGTTGCTATTTTATCATCACATGGCACAACTCCCATTTTGATAAATTTTGCTACCAGACTTGACATTTCATGAGCCAGTTCTCCTTTCAGACTTCTTTGTTCAAGATTAACCAGAACATCTTCACTTGAGGCCTTTGATTTCTGCATTTTACTTCCACTGTGACTGTAGCAATGTCTATTTTCATACATTTGATTCTATTCCCATTCTACCTTCCTCCTCAAAGAATCATCCTAACTGAAAAATGAAATATATCCATTCAGGATTGCCCTAACTGCTTCATATATTATCTGTGTCCCACCATCAGCTTTGCTTCTTCCTACATAGTACTCCACTTCTTTATATAGCATGAACAATTGATTGTTTTCAATATTACCAGTAATTCTTAACTGTCAACAATTCCTGGAAATGTTCATTTCAAGCATGAGTTCTTGCTCTCTGTGATATAGTTTGTTTCTTTACCTACACCCCGTTCCTTTTAGGCATTCTTTTTAGTAAATTTATCCAGAAAACTATGTTTTCTCCTTGGGAAAATAACAGATTCCTTATACTTTCTCCCTTTCGGGCTTCCTTTGCCTTTATTTTCTTAGTTACTTTAGATTATCAATACTTGTTCTTTGAAATTCAATAGCCTTATTTGCAGAATAAATTTAATTTACTCTTAATTTTAACTGGATCAATGATATTGGGAGCATAACGAGTAAAATGCTTACTAAATAAAAAAAAAAATTGTTTTTACTGTGGTTTTCGTGGTGTTAGAAGTTCACTAAAAATGCCAACACATTATTTTAAATCTTAGAGTAAGTTTATCCTATTTTGACATTTTTGTAAGACAATACAGCTGCTCTAGGCTGAAAGCCTCTGCATTTGGCTTTCATCATGGTATTCTCTGAAATTAATCCCTCTAAAATCAATGATGACTGAATCAATGAATGAAAGTCAGGATGACTAATAACCAAGAAAACTGCTATTCAAAAGGATGACAACTCAATCCCATAATGAACAGAACTCTATTTTGTTTCTATCTGTTAGGACAGTAAGGGTTTTCATCTTACTAAAATCAACAGATAATCCAAGATTAATTTTTGAGTGCATTGTATACTTTAGAGGAAGTCTAGTGATTAAGCACATTTGTTACTTTCCAGTTCTAACAGTGGTAAGAGTTGCTTTATTTATGGAAATAGATGATGTAAAATTCTTCTACTTTAATAACAGTGCATAACACAGGTGAAGTATTTTAGTAGTGAGATTCAGTGGACATTCCAATTTTCAGTTCAATCTCTGCAGTAATTCTTTGGATGCAGCTGAGGATGGCGGAGACAGGAAATTGCTATTATCTAGTAATCTGAGGAAAATAACTAGGTGTTCTCTGCCAGTCAAATTTTGGCAGCCCCAAATGATTCCCCACCTTGGTAGTCTTACTGTCAGGCCAAAATAATATTGGTTTTAGGAACTGGAAACAGATAGCTCCCGATTTTAAGAAAAAATCACCCATCATTAGTGCCCTTGAAAACACCAGCAGAGAAAACAGGTTTGGACCTGGAAAAAACCATTTCTGTAGCAAGCAGAAATAAACCAAAAATATAGTTTAACTACAGCATAAAACAGAGAACTTGCAGAGCTGCTGTAACTTTTTCAGGCTCCAGGTTTGGAATGGAATGAAGGATGTTTAGGACAAAATGTATCCCAGACAAAAAAAGAAGTTTCCTCATTTGACCATTTGGCCACACTGAACGCTATTGAGAAACTAAAGAAACTGAGTAAATCAGGAAGCTGTCACATGGTGCAGAAATTAAAGACAGCCTTATAAGTCTTAAATGTTCAAGTCTGTTGCATGTTTTATAAAGCAAGGGCCTTGTATAATAAATCTTAAATTATAAAACTACAAAAAGAATTCTTTATAAATTAAGCTAGTCATTCCACATCCTAAAACAGTCCTGAAGCAAAAACTCTTAAGATATTTGCAGATGTCAAGCACCAGACTAAGATGACTGTTGGGTTTTTCTGCTTTCTTTTTTCTCCCTGGGGAAGAGAGATTTGTGTGCAAAGGTGTTAAAATGAGTGATCAGGAATTCTGCATCAGTTCACCGTAAATTCAATGTGACTTACTCTGTAATTTCCCCATGGAAAACAGGAAGTCTAGAGAGTCTTTCAGCTTTTATTTTAAGTGACATTAATAAACAGAAGACTTTCAGTCTTTAATTTATTTCCACATTTTCAAGCTTAGGTAATGTCATGGTACAGCACCTAAAACATTTCTAACTTGGATATTGCAATCAGGTTATTAAAGGTAAGGGAATATCACCATGTTTTTCATGAACTTCACCTTTTGACCAAATGGAAACAAAATGCCACACAGATTTTCAGTGGAAAACACTCTACACAACAGCTCCATAGTTCATCTATGTCAGTAAAATTATTAAGCATATTTTGAAAATCTCTGTGTAATAAGGAATAAGCCCTAAGAAATTAATCTGACATGACAGTCGGCATTATTTTTTCATGCCAAATTAAAGATTTAAGTAAGGTAAAAGTACAAAGGACACAAATATCCCTTCCTGGCTCATATACTGCACTTTGATAGGTTAAGCAAAGCGTTCATTCAAAAGAGAAGGAACATGTAGCTGACTGGGGGCCAGCAATGAAAGTGCAGCAAATACTACAGAGCTAGATCACAGCCTCATGCAACCCCAGACTTTTTTTTTTAGCAATTTTAAAAAATTATCCTTTTAATAAATAAGTCTTCCCCTCCAGATAATATCTAGCTAAAAAAATCCTGAACTCATTTTTCACAGCCTCTTCTCTCTGTCTGTGTACTCTGGACCAGACATTACCACTGCCATTCCACCAACACTATTGCTTATATCAGATACAAGTCTGTTTTCTAGTCCCATAATGAAGCATCTTCATTATTTTTCATCCAAAAGGGCTATAAGCAGAATTTTAATCCAAATGCCATCCAGTGATGGTGACTTTCCTCTTTTTTTCCTCTGGGAAACAACCATCCAAACTTTTTAAAGACTATCTTTCAAAGGCCACCATATGTTCATAAATAGGTCATTATTCATTTCAAGTATTATTTGTTTAAAGAAACAGTGTGAAAGGCTGGAAGTTTGCAAGCATGTCTTTCTGCAACAAATGAGTCGTTAACTGCATGAACATCAATAAGGAAAGCCTTGTTCTTAATGGTTTCTCAAAGTACACTTATTTCATGCACTCCTCTACCTACAGCTTGGATGGTGTCTTTAAATGCCTCTTCTACGAGTTTTTACAAAATGCAGATGAAGTTGGTGAGCATTGTTATGGCCTTTTATGTCTGCAGCTAAGAAAATGCTTGGACATCTGCTTAATGAGTCAGCTGAGGCTTTGTTGGTACCATCCCATTCAGCACCTCTCCTCGACACAATGCACAATAAGCCTGTACATGTATCACCAGATCAACGACATCCCGCAGCAGCCTTCCAAATCTCCCGTCAGACAGCCGTTTGCTTACCTGTGTTGCTTGATGGGCTGGGTTCCTCTGTTGGGAGACAAGGCCTCTGGGAAAGACTGAGGGCCTGAAAAACTAGACTCCATAACTTTGTCCAGAACTGGCCCGGGATGCCTATCTGTTTTTGAATACTGTGGCACAGAGAACAGAATTAATACACAAAAGGCAAAGCACACTGTTAATGCTATTCAACTAGAACTCATACTGGAGCAGGGTAAGAAGTGCTCTAATGCATTTTTAAATTAAAATTAGGCATTGCAAGTAATACATTCATCCACTATTTTTTACATAGCAGAAAGTACTGGTACTCATTATCCCCTATTACCTTTGTTCACATCAAAATGCCAATATCTGCATGAGTAGCAAAATTACTGACTGATCTGCCCATAGTGACAGGAAACTGATCCCATCGACTAAAAGCCTGTTTTTGTGGCTGTCCATGCAGAGCCTGAGATCATGAAACACATCTCAGAGGACGGTCAGCACCTTCTTGGTTCCTTTGAAGAATTCAGCCAAACAGTGCTTTCATCAGAGTGCATAACTATGAAAACCAAACGGAAACATTTGTTTCATCAGATAAGTACGAAAAACACTTGAGTCCTATCCGTAGAGCCAGACATCCCTTCCGAACAAGTCTGAAACTTTTGACCTGGTGTATCTATGCTACTAAGAACAGTGTAAACATAATTATTTTTGTGACAGTTGTAGGCATAGGGCAGTCTCTGGGCACACAGTGAGACACAAAGGTCTGTAAAGCAGACGCTGGACATGAATAAGAACAGATTTTCTTATTCTTGTTTTGTGATTCAACTGAAAATTCAGCAAAAATCTTGTCTCTGATCCTGAACGGAGCCAAAAAGTCAGTGTAAAAGAAGCTGCATTTTGTCTTGGAATAAGAATCAATGTTGTTAGTGGTTACTGGGCAATATCTCAGAGATATGAGAGGTTAACCTACATTTCCACTCAGGTATGAAAAATACTGCAGTTTTCAGATTTTTTACATTTCATTACAACGACCTGCAGGAAAACTAATTGGTCTACTTTTCTTTAATCTACTTCTTTTTGTATTGAGTTTGTATTTTTAATACTAGATACATAGATATCCAGGTTATCTTTACAATAAACTGGTACTGTGGGAGCTATTAGATGATTAAATATTTTAGGAAAAAAAAAACAAACTAAAAGAATAATAATATAAAAAAATCACAGTGGTAAAAAAAAGCCATGCTATGATATAATAGCATAAAAATTAATGGAGAAGATAGTAAGACTTCTTTTGAAGTACAGTTCTTTGTAATTATTTTGTTGTCTAACAAAAGACCAATAACTCCTTAAAAATACAGAATTATTTTCTGATTCTCACTTCTCTATATTTCCCCAGACTTCAGCAAAATCAAAAAGGAAAGTCATACAAGGTTACTCCATCTATTCAGACTTATGACCGATTTCTATAGATGAAATAACAGATATTCAAATTTTTCTCCAATGCTCTTCTTCTTTCTGTTGTGTGAAATACCCACATAAACAGGGTCAAAATCACTCTTTATGTGCTTCTGAAGGCAAAGCTATGAGTGACAAGATACAAAGTGTTGCTGTATGCATGAAGTAAACACAACTGAAATAATAAAAAGAAACATATTCTACTCTTATTTCTTTCAGTTACCGTGATCTTGGTTGCCACTTGCAAATGTTGTAGATAAAATATTCAGACAGAAGTATGATTTTTAAGGTGCTCATGTTTGTGAAGGTTTTAAACTTTGTTATCCTCCCAGCTGCAGAAATGAAACTGTCTTTGATTTCTGACCCGAATAAATCAATTTGAGCTATGTAAAGAATGGGTTGTTAGTACCAGGAAGCTATTTCTGTCTTTTTTCCTGTTTGTTCATGATACTAAATTGAAGGTCCAAATGTCTTATAAGGCCATGCATATGGAATGAATTAAGGGTAACTAGATATAAGCTGCACCTTTTTATACATCCATGGTTAAGGTGGATGTAGGCTGGAGCGATGGTATACAGTCTTTCCTCATCACAACTGAGGAAAACCAAGACCCCCAGAAGCCGCTCTGATGCTGACTAGTAAAGTATATCAAAGGTCCAACACCCAGCACCACCCAGGCACACCCTGCAAAGGATATTTTTCCCCTTAACTGAACATTTTTATGCCATTTTTAGATGCACCACTTACTGATTACCATAACAGCCATAACATCAATTACAATGAAAATGTGAATCACAATTTAAATGGAGGGTATGAATATACAGAGGATTTGAACAATGCAATTGAACTTATTTGGATGTATCACATTATTCATACATTTTAATAAGTTTAAACACAGTTGAGTTTATTCTCCTTTAGCTTAACTGTAACTGCCACATTCCTTCTCTGAGATCATCTCTGGAGAAAAATATCTTCAGATTTCTGTGAGGCATTTACAGCAGCATCAGTCGGTGCCCCCAGAGGTATGGTGTAGGATTATTCCCCATCTGTACCCCAGCAGAGCCCATCCCACCTCTTCCACAGCCCAGTTCTCACCTGGGCTGGGCTTTGCGGAGCCCTCTGACTGTTGAGAGCTGCTGAATACTTAGCCATGACGGAGAATAAGCTGCGAAACACTTTTAAAGGGCTGTTCCAGTAGGTTGAAAGGATCACTGAAAGCTTATCTGTATTATTTGGTTTTTTTAAGGTTTTATTGGTTTTTTTTTGCTTAATTATTTGTGCTTGTTTGAGCAATTACTGAAAAACGCAGATGCATATGGCCAATTAAATTAAAGAATGACAGCATTTAAAAATAAACCATTCTGCAATTTTTCACGGTTTCATGGAGAAAATAATCTGTTCTGTACAATTACGCAACTCTTTGACAATAAAATTCCACCCCTCACTAGTTAATGCTGAGCAGACTGCAAAGGTAGCCTGCGCCAGGAAACAAGAAATCAGCCTCTGCCACTGACCTACCGCATGACTGTGAGCACGTAATTCCCCTGCTCCATGCCATGTATTCTTTATTCTAAAATGTAGGGGATCCATGGATAACAAATGCCACTCAAGTGCTACAGAATAGCTTGACACTGTTGTCCTAGTGTTATGCAAAACAAAACACCCATTGCTCCTCCTGGCTGTTCTTAGCTCTTCCCCCTCAATGATTTTCCCAAAACAGTAATAACAGAAAGTCCAGAAACACCTGTGGCATTGGGAGATGATGTGGAGATCTCATTTCAAAAAGGACTGAGAAGGCAAAGAGGCCAGTTTTAAATTACATTCAGAGGGGGTGCCTCAAGTGGGTAAAGAGCCAGTGGTTTTTCTGGACGGGCTGACTTTGCACAAAAGCCCATCAGGTGGCATATTGAACGTCCTTACAGCTGTTCTCATATGCTCCATATGTTTTGTTGCCAACACTAGCTCTAGACAGAGGCCAGTAGATTCATGTTTGTCAGTTCTTAAGTAGTCATGCAATATAGGAATGGGAAATTTGCTGTTGACCTTAGCTGATAAATCACATTGTAGCTCAGGCAAAACCACACAGTAATCTCTTAAAAGATTTAAGTGTATCTGTTGCTCAACATATATTAATTGCATTTTTATCACAGTGACTAAAACAAATTTATTTCCTACTACTATCAACAAAAGGCAACAAGACACAAAAAGAGCATTTTTTTTTCCTCTCATTACAAGAACATCAGAAACCTGGAGCTAGCGATTGCAAGCTATTAGAAACAAGTGTAGTGGAAAGTGAAACCACACACTACAGCATGAAAAGCATATTAACCACCTCAGAGGGAAAGTGATGGGGAATTAATAGATCCACTTAGTACCATGGGAGAAGGTATTAAAATCCACAAAGGTGAAAAAGACCACTTTCAACAACCATGACAACTCTCAAAATCACTAAAGGAATGCCAAGGCTTCAGCTGCTTTTTTTTGTTGTTGTTGCATGGCATATTTGTCAAGCTATGAGAATTTAAGGGAAACCTCCAGTCAAGGTAGAAAAAAAAGAGGAATCAGGAGCATGATTAAGACTCATGAGGAGTGGTGAACTACAGAAAAAAACAGGAGGGCCCCAACCCCTCCTCTCGCCCCTTGCATTGTGTATCAGGGGGCACAGAGCACTTGCCCTTCTAAGAGGGGCAGATGAAAATTACAATTTATTTCCTTTTGCCTATGAGGACATTGGACTGTTTGCTGCAGTCTTGTGGAGGACATTCATTAAGTATCTCTTAAAGATAATATAATCTCTTTGGGAAGGGGTATGCAATACTAGGAAGTCCTAAGTTACAGGCATTAGGAGAAATAAATCCAAATCTCCTGTGTACCTCAAAAATCCTGCATTAAAAACTAGCACATCTATCTCTTCCTGACTGAAGAATTATAGCAAGATTACCAGGGCATTAGTACCTAAATCCAAGATGCTAGAAAACCTCGGAAGAAATTCAGTGTATTCCTGCCAGAATATTTGGGAAAAGCAGTGGACTTGAAAGAGATTCATGAGAAATACTAGGAGCTGTGTCCAAACAGTTATTTATGAATCCTGCTTACAGTGTACAGTGTTTTTCATCTAATTAGTATCCTTAACAAAATAATGGAATCGATACTGAGAGAAACAGAGTCAGCACAGGTGAACACAATTACTGGCTATGAGCAGCAGGAGCTGAGACAGAACACAGCTATCCTGACAAAATCTAACCCCCCCCCCCCTTTTTTTTTTTTTTTTTTTTTTTTTTTTCTTCACAGAATCACAGCTGGACAGAGGAAGGAAGTGGAGGAGATGCAATGTATTTGAGTGTGGAAAGGAAAAGCAGATGATACTTGAAAATATTGTCAATGCAAACAAAATCTTTATTCCCTGCAATATAGCAAATGACAGGGAGGGATCCATGCACCCAGGCATTTAACTTTATGCCTAACTCTCTGCATTCTTCCCCACCCTTAGGGCTTGCCAAGGGAGGTGCTGGCATGTGGCCATTTACCCTGCTAATCAGTGAAGGCAAAAACCCCAAAGAAGGTGACTTCTTAAATGAAGGGAGTTCTAGAACGCCTCAATTTTTCAGTTAGCCAGCTCCGTTTTTTTCTGAATATCCTGTTGCTTAATTTGAAGACCCACATCCAAAAGAGCAACCCTGCCATATGGATGTTTAATGAACTTGTGGGAATGTCCAACACTTCAAATCTGTTTCTTAAACACTGCCTTTTGAAATAAGGATTACTGCAAGGTAACCCATAGTCTAGGATGCAGCAGGAGAATTCTGATACAAATGAAGAGTGTTTTGAAAGCAAACATGCAGAGCTTTTAACCTTGTATATGGTTCTCATAATCACACTACTGTAAACAAGTTTTAATTGGCATAGAGGTGGGATATCATGGGGACTGAGGTCTGAAGTCCTTTTCTTTTCCTTCTGCAGTAATGCAAACAGCTGCAAGTATAATAAGTCAGGCTAGAATAAAATGCAAATCTGTAATTCATTTTAATACTTGGTTCAAAAATTAAATGTGTGGTTTTTCTGTTAACAGCAATTTTGGTATATTCACATGGCTTCTCTCATTTTAAAAAAAGATTAGAAATTGACTTTGAAAATAAGTAATGAAAAATAATTAATTTCCTAAAGTCCAGTCAAGGGTAAAGAGGGGAAAAAAAGGAATGATAAGCAGAAAAATTACTTCATTGAGACTGGTCAAACTCTTTATAGCCACAAACCACTTGAAATGCTATCTGCTATATCCTACGTCCTGGGAAATTAGTAAAGCCTCTTTCTAGAGCAACACAGCATTTGGAAAGTTCTATGCATCCTTTACTAAATGTAGCAACCCCTGAGGCAAAATATGATGGCTCTTTCAGAGTAGATAGAATAGTCATCAAGAATAAGGAACCTTATGCATCTATTCTTGGGTTTACACTAATGTATTCTTCTCTATAGAAGAAGAAAAAGTGGGGTGAAAAATCTGAAAGCATCACCAGGTCCATTCAAAATATCCTGGAGAAAAACAGGGGAGAATCTTTTAGAAAAAATGACATACAAGCAAGACAGATTTCCCATGTAGGAGTGGGAAAAGAAATGGCTTCCAGGTTTACATAAGCCAAAACGCCAGACTGGAGGACTAATCTCCAGAAGATAACCACCTTAATTTCTTTCAGTTTCTTTACTGGCTCCTGGAAATGAACAGAACTAAGATTTCTCTCCAAACCCATGTGGTGGGAGCTGCAGGTGGGAATTGCAGAGAGATCACATCCTGGCAGCAACGGGCAGGAAGGGGGTAGCACAGCCGCAGGAGTGAGTGGCAGGAGCGTTCTCCTCCCCATGCTGCTGCCCAGCCCCTTGCCCACCCCACAGATATGCCTGGGACAGAGCTCTGGTCTCTGATAGGGAGCCACTCAGCCATTCCTATGAAATACCATTTCAAAGTTCTTTTCTGCTGCCTCGCCATACTCCCTGCCCTTTCTTTCCCCTCCAATCTATCAAGTTTTGTAAATATTTAATGAACTGCCTACATGCATTTCTGCACTAAAATCTTGCTAACAACAGAAATCATGATTACCCTGCACTGTTACGCTACACCCTGCACTGTTACGCTACATCCTGCACAAGGTCATTCTGTTTTTCTTCCTTAGTATCTTTGCTCCCAAAGGGAAAATGCATTAATGGCAAGGAGAAAACAGCTGCCTGCAAGCAGCCGCAGGAACAAGAAAATGGTGTGTTAATTACCAGCAGTGATAATGCCAGTCTGAACACCATTAAAAGCTGAAAAGAAAATTTGGATTAAAATAACAAAGAATAATAATGGTTTTCAACCTCTAATATCTGGAATGTACAAACTGCTACTTCAGCCATTATGCCTATTGTTATGGCAAAAAAAAAGACTTAACTAAGGCTTGTTGATGTGTCAGCTGCTCAGAGGACATCAAATAGTTCACTGTGATGAAGGGTTGACAAAATATTGCACTGAATTACAGTGAGAAAAAAGCAAGGAACATATTCTTAGTGTTAAACAAGACCTACTTTATACATTAGAACAAAAGGATCACAAATGCTCTTTACAGCTTTACCTTTTGTTGCCATAATTACAACCCAACAACACTCCCAAATGGCTTTTTTTAGGGGTTAGAAGTAATATATGACTGAATGAACTAAAAGTGAAACAAAAAAAATCGCACAAGGTTCCCTAAACTGTGATTATGTTGATTTAGCGGAGCTATCTTCCTTCTTGAAATAGGGCATTTTTCCTGAACCACAAAGCGTGTCATGACCGCAGTGATGCTCCTACAAAACAAAACTTTTATCAAACACAAGCAATGCTCTCACAACTCCTCAGTCATAGCATGGAGGCTCTGCTTACTCTGAATTGGTTAAAAGGGCTTAGACTTATTTCTGCATTAATTGTATATAAGCACAGGAGACATCTGTGGCTAACACGGCATGAGTGCTCACTTTTGCTAAAATCTCACTATTTTGGCAAATAAGGTAGTCAGCCTTTTAAGCAAAGCTAAGATAGTTTTTTTTTTTTTTTAGTTAAGCATTTAGAAAGGCTTCAATATATACTTTATGATTTCCTACTATATCGCTACCTAGATCCCTCTCAGCTGTTTCAAAGACTTTGTTCTAAATAAGACAGAACTAAATGTGCACGAACAGTGGGAAAATAAAACATGCATTGGAAAATACCTGGCATCCAAGGCTAAATAAATTGGTCATCTTCAAGTTCTTTATTTGAAATATGCTTTATGTATTTGTCCTAGGTTAAGCTGAGACAGAGTTAACTTTCTTCATAATAGCTATCAAGAGGCTGTGTTTTGGAAAGAAGAAGCTGATAAAAAGTGATGTTTATGAGGCTGCCAAGGTCTTTCAGCTTCTCTGGCTGTCCGCAGACCAGAGAAGCTGGGAGGGAGCACAGCCCCAGTTACTAGCCCAGGATTTGATCTTAGGTTTGGGACTGAGACCCAAAGTGGCCAATAATCTATTCCATAACATATGCGTCATGCCCAGTTGAGGGCCCTCCAGAAGATCGTCCCTTTTGGTTCCAGATCTCTTTTGCTCTGGGTCATCTCGCTCCAGGTCGTCGCTCTCCCAAGGCCTTTCCGACCCCAACAGCGGTCAGCTCTCGGTCTGGGATGCTGAGACTGTTATCTCCATTCCATGAGTGAGGTTTCGGGACTCTCCCTGCTCTGGGATCGTTAGCCAGGAACAGGCTGAGCCTTGGTCACCGGGTGTGGGGGGGGGGGGGCAGTATCACTGTGTATCACTCATTTGTATATTTGTATATAGTATTATTTTCAATGTTATTGTAGTTTAGTTATTAAATTGTTCTTATCTCAACCCACGAGTCCTTTACCCCTTTAATTCTCTCCCCTATCCTCGGGTTGGCGGAGGTGGGGATTGCATAAGTGGGTGTGTGTGAGTTGGCCCCCCAGCCAACGACAAACCCATCACAGTATTTCACAATTATGGGATTGTATTAACTTACATATAACTGTACACAGAAAATGCCTAAATAAATTTCAAAATTAGTTTGAATAAACTGATCTCTTTTGAGTATAAAAAAACCTGTTTAGCTTAAGACCCAGGAAAATGAGACCATCTGCAGAGTCTTCCCTTAGGCACTAGTTTACATGTGTAAATTTAGTTCAAGATTTTCAGTCTACTCTGAATTAACTGTGACAAATCCCTACGTTTTTTTCATGCAGGTTCATTAATTTTTGGAAGACTTGGAATCACTTAAGGTCAAGGATCCCCGCTTCACCTATAAACCATACATATGAGCTAAGGTATTGCCGGAAACTATAATAGTAATTTCCATTGCTGGATGTAGAGCTAGGGGGCTCAGTAAAGTCTATTACACGAACAAAATGTACCAGGATCCATTGAAATAACTTCAGAAAAATATCCCTGCTTGGTGTTTCCATTAACAGACCCAATAGAAAACATTTTATGAAAGAGGTGAGAATTCTTGTTCCCATTGCTCAGATGCTAATAGCAACATGGCGATGTGCTGCCATCAGCAGCAGGAACTCAGCCAGGCTATTAAGTGGTGTAGCTGTCAGGATTACTTACATTTTGCAGCTGGACTCGGCTTTGCGCCATACACTCTGATTTTGCCATCATGCTGGAAGCATTTAGGCTGTAGCTTTTCCTATTCAAGGTTTCTTTCAGCTGTTCATGAATTTGCTTTGTTTGTTTTCTGCAGAGAGAAATAAAACTCATGTAAGAAAGAGCTAGTTTGATCTTCTACTATAGCCATGATATTTTTATAGCCATGGTTCCCTTTGTTCAAAACTTCACTGTATTAGATTAATCAGCTGAGCTAATTCACTAGTGTCTAATACTTCAATGCAGCGGTCATTTTCTGTCGAGGCTTAAAGAAAGGAAAAAAAGAGCTCTTCTGTTTAAAATATCTTTTATTCTCAGATTACTGTAATAGCATTGCTAGTTGTTTTAGTGCAGAATTTTGTAAGATCATCTATTACATACTTAACAATGGCTTGCAAATGAAATGCAAAAAGCATTTTGCTCTGATTTGGAACAAAGATTTTGGCAAATACAATGAGCATTAGCCCCTGTTGGCTATTAAAAAGTGTTGAAGAATCAAAAGATTTCTGCTAGTAGCTGATTAGACTTGACCTGCAACCCAGTATCTTCCTGGAAAAAAACCCATCAGTACAATATCTGAGGCTGTGTTTTTTGGCATATGATATGTCAGAGCTAAGAATACCACTAGATGAATCACTTGCAATATTCAGGAGATAACTACACTATTAATAAAGGCTTTCTGCTTCTGAAACAATGTATTGGCAAACTGTGTTTTAAAGTTCTGTACATGATTGAGGATATGAGGCAGCAAAATTTATTTTAAATATTTCTTCTATCTTCTGCAAACATATCTCAGCTAGGGAAAAAATGTTAGCAAAATATATTTAAAATATTTTATCAGTCTTCATTCTTGTGATAAGGCACATTGTCTGAGACTACCAGTCTTAAATGATCACAAGAAATAACTCCACAATACTATTTTCCTTCCTTTCTTCCTTCCTTTTTCTCCCCAGCAGATGCATCTCCAGCAGGAAACCTACAAAGTCCCTGGAAACCGCCCAGCAAGCTCAAGGATTTGTCAGCAGAGGCAGCATTTTGTTACGCCACCAGCAGCTTTCAGACAGCAAGTGGTGTGGAGCCAAATTTCAGAAGGAAGTGATTTCAGGAAAGTGTCCGTAAGAAATAAAGGAAATATAGTCTTGCTATATGGAAATTTGAAATTTTAGCAAAGAAGCTTCAGCAACATTTTGAAGAATTTCTGGTGGTTTTGCTGCTGAAAGCCTTACGACGTCGTCAAGTTTAACAGCATTTTACTTTACACAAGGCCAATGAATTTGACACTAAATGAAATATAAAACTCATTTTAACTTCTTTCCGTGTAGTCTGTGTCTAGTGTAGGAAACTGTAGGAAACCACAGGAAAGTGACTTACTTAAGTGGTCAAAGGGGGAAACTGAAAAAGACCAAGTTCTCTTAATATGAAAGAAAGCAGTGAGAAGTAGCACAGTTCAGATATCCAATGTTAATACTATATTTTTCAATATATTGAAATAAATATATGGGATTTCCTCTGCCTTTGAGTCCCTTAGTTCTGATTCAACATTGCACAATTTAAGCACTTGCTTGAATTTAATAAAATGTAAGCACTTGCTTAGAAGCAGGTGTTTATTACAGCATGTTTCCTGAATACAGGTCATAAACTAAGAAATCTTGGACTCTATAAATATCTCTTATACTTTCTATTTATATCCTATTTTGAAACAGCATGGAAATGAAAAAGAAACGAATTTACACAGTAAGCATGTTACAAATATGAGTGGTATGTTCTGAATATAGCTAGGAGCTCATAATTAGTAAGATTTATGAGTATGGGTGGGTAAGGAAACAACTTCTCAAGCACAAAAAAAAAAAAAAAATTATTAAACTTTCCAAATCTTTCCTTAGCCAAAACAACCTGTAAAGCTAATATCAGAATAATCTGAATAGATATATCATCTGAAGGATTATTGTGTCAAATTAAATTAGTCAGTTGATTCTGAAACATCCATTTTAAAAATGTTTTTTGATATCTACTAATTTTTGATACTAATTACATTGTATAATTTAAATTGTAAAATGTGAAAATGAACCCTTCAGCTTCTCATAAAATTCCAGAAAGAATTCATAAAAGCAAGTCTGGAGTTTGTACGAATAATTATTTTCTGACCAGCTAAAGTACATACACTGAAGAAATAAGCATATATATCTGTATGTCCTACTGGAGAGTCAGCCCTCTGCTTGTTGGTCTCCATAACGGTTACGGAACATTCAGTTTTTTTGGATGACTGTTTTTGAGTGGAGACTTCATATAAAGTCTTTAGACAGTGAAACATGATCACAGCACCAGACTTTGGGAATCTCTCCTATACTTACAATGTTCTTAGAATTGAATCAGGAAAATAACAAAACAAATTACAATTTTTTTGGAACTCTAATTTGGACTTATTAAGAAAACCTGGGTTTAGAGTTGTTTCTACATCTATAAACACATGTAAGTAATTTGGAATATTCAACTTCACTGCTGCTATCTTTAACATTACTTTGAGATTCCCAAAGGTAATTTACTGAGAGAAACAAGCTAATAATTAATTTCCTTTTATGTTCATGCAACCTAACATTAATATTAGCTTTATGCATATTCATTTTGCCAAACTATGAGATGCACTGTTATAAAACTAGAAACTATTAATAATTCAAAGTTACTCACTGATTAATATATTTATTCTTTAATTTTTGTTTTCAAAACAAATGGGCCTTATGTGTTCTACTTTAGAGATATTCAGCAATAAAGTATTGTTACTTCAGCAAGAGATAGAGTCACTAGTCATCTATAAAAGTCTAAGCCATAAAGAGCAGCCCACTACTGTACTCTTCCCTGGTTGCTAACACTTAAAGCACTTTCTAGATTGCCCTAAAAGGAATAACTGGAAAGGCATAGTGTATAATTATAGTTCTAAACTTCCTCTGGTTGAATTTATCTTAAATAAGGACTTATAATTTAATGGTGCGTAGGGAAGTGTATATTTCTAGCAGCAGGTATTATGCAATTGTCAGACGAAGAAAATCAGGGTCAGTGTCTTCATGGAAACTTAAAGGGTGCACCATTCAGAGCTTCTGTAGCTGTTAGCAATATTTTAAATTTTTGATACATCAAATTAAACCCAAGGATTATCACCCCTGCAAGAGGAATGCTTTGATAACTCTAAGCATGATCAAGATACATCTGCCTGATGAAGAAGCTCCTGAAAATCTGTTGACTAAAAGCTAACATATGATAAGGGTTGAGGTACTTTAAATCTGTTGGTTTTTACACCCTTAAGACAATGGCCAATGTCACAGTTATGATGCTGTTTTATGTGGCCTCTAGGCAGCCCAGTCTAGACACTCTTATCTACTTTTTGGACAGTTTAACAGCTGGAGCCACAGCCAGGGAGTTAGGGATTGATTAGTATCTTACCATTACTGTGTTTCATGTATTTGATAAGAACTCTTGAATGAACAGGAGGTGCTCATTTTCTCATTACTCTTCAAACTTCTGTTCCCATAATTTGGCATAAGCACACTTCAACTCTTCCCAGTACATCTTAACTATCATTTTATAATGCAGATAGATTAAAAAAACCAAACCCAACACCAACCCCCACCTCCTGCTGAGGGATGAAGCACTATTGTCCTGTGAGTTCATCTTTGAAGCATTATTTGTCCTCATTATTTTTAGACATAGCTCTCCCCACCACCTCATCAAAGTCATAATATTTTGAAAACTGTTCCAACTCAGCTCCTTACCACTTTGTACAACAGCGCAAAATCAAGAGGGGCACAGCTGAATAACAGAGGGACATTTTATTCGCACTATGCTCAGTTGTTTACTGCATGTTCTTCCAACTGACAATCCCATTCTGCCTTCTCTGAATTAGCAAAACCCCCAAGCCTTTCCAGGAAGAACAGGAACACCTTATTCTCTCTTCCTTTCTTCTGCAGATCTAAAATGCATAATGACATTTCTAATGTAGTGGCAAGATGTCTGTCTCTGCTCACAATTTATACAACAACCAAGGAGTGTGCAGAAAGGAACTGTCCTGACCCAGCATCCTCCCAGCTAGCAACTGACATATTCTAGGCCCAAAGATCAATCAAACAAAAACTCTCCAGATATTAGAACAGGTAGGATTGTTTAGATGAAATATGAATGAACTCAAATCTTCACTCAAATCATACACAAACCACTCCTGAAGTTTGGGGGGATGAAAAAGAATTTAAAAAAATGTGGTGACTTCCTTTTTTTTTTCTTTCTGATAGAAATGTCAATTTTTTTTATTTTTTTTTTACATAAAAAGTAGTAGATTTTATACCCATTAAAATAAATTATTAAAAGAGGGATTCAGATAAGCATCCAAACATTTAAATAGTGCAAACCTCCACATTCTTGATGCTCAGCCACCACGACTAGCCTCACGCAGGTACTATTTATACTGCTATGTGCTTTCTCATTAGCTCCAGCAGGAACAGGAATGAGGGATGACAACCATACAGAACATATTTACAGATACTGTAGCACTGACAAGCATGTAATGTAATTGCTATAAGGTTTTGGCAATTCAAATTACAAAAGTAACGATAAATATTATAAAAAATGTTCAATTGGGAAGATAAAGCATAGACTGGAAAGTGTGTATTTAACTTGAAAATAGTTCTGTGCAAACAATTCCACCATACTCAGATAGTTCAATGCACTTGCGTGTTACAGCTACTCATTATGCAATGACCTCAGCAGTTTACAACTATCAGCTATAGGTTGCAGATATCTGTAGAGAACTTGTCTCTTTCTGCGTTTTTAACGTTACCTTTGTTCTCAGCATTTGGAAACAAAAGGGACATTCTGGGATATGAAATGAAATGCAAAAAGGCGATTATATGTTTAAACTTTTATTATCAAAAAAATAAAAGTGACTATTGCACTGGTAGTAAAAGACACAAAATTATTACTGTCAAAAAAAGAACTGCAAAGGACACAATCTCTTCTCTCCTAATATCAGAAAATGGAAACAAGAACACATATTACTCCTGTTTACATGTTTTTTGGACTTAGATAGCATAGCCATGGGGAAATTTTCTAGCCTGCCCAGAGATAACAACAACTTCAAAAGGAGGGGGGAAACTGCAGAATTGCAAAAGCATAGAAAGGACAGAAGCTAAATAACAAACACACTAGAAGAAGGCTCTTACTTTGTTTTGAAGTAGAATGCTGCACAAAGCATGCCCACTACGACTATGCCAAAGACGATACAGGAAATAGACAGCACCTGGCGCTGGTATACTTCTTCATTCTCTGTGAACAGCAAAATTGAGAATTATGAAAGAATCAGAAAACAATACTTGCAAAAAGTGGATTTCAGCAAATAATGGTTTTACTAATGATGGACAGATATGAGAGATTTGGATGTCTGGGCTGGCCAATTCTTCAACAGAATGGATGCTTCTCTGAACCTCTCATCTGGATTAGGTTCATAGAGTCATGGTCTCCTAGGAAAGTTTTAGAAAATGGTTCCAATACACACTGAGAGATAATAATAATAAAAATCAGGATAGTTTAATATTTTCTCTGCCCTACATGGTCTTTTTCAGTTTTTTTAAGAAAGCTTCTCTGTCAATAGGATAAAAATCCCTACAGCCATGGAGTTTTTCCGGCTTAATGCAAGACCCATCAGAGCTCTCACAAGGTCCCAAAAGATTCAGAGTTCCCTTTTTAGCTACCCCAAAATCTAAGTGTTTTTTTTTTTTAACTGAATGGTGATTACAATGCCTTGCCCCCATGTCCTTCCCAGTACTTGAAGCTTATGTACAACATACCACAGTAAAAAATTAACTAAATCAGCTTTGATGGATCCCAATAACCCAATGACTACTATGCTACGATGTACCAGATATTGCTTTCACAGGAGTCTATTTTTTAAAGTAAATTTCCTTAAGAAATCTCATAATCTTCTAACGAATTTTAAATCATGAACAGAATGAAAGTAAAAAAAAAAAAAAGGGAAAAAGCTAACAAAACAAGAGAAAACACTCATTCATGGCAGCAGGCAGCAGACAGAAGCTGATAGGCAACTGGACTTTCACACACTGAATTCAACAGCTCCTTAAGTCTTATATTTTATTTTTATTATTTCAACTACTTCTCTGGTCCATAGTACTAACATGCTAAACAGATTGTTATTTTTTTAAGATCTGTTTCTCTGAACATGCAACATGTGAAACAGTATTTTCATTCATATATTTTAAGTAGAAAACCAACATGTAGGATTATCAAAGCACAGTACAAGCACTGTACACCAACAAAGCTACATTTCTTTTCTACATTGGAGATCTTCAGTGCAGATGTTCCCAATCAATATGAATACCAGACACATATGTCAAGTAGGTGACAGTAACTCCAAGTTCCAGGTTCATAAGTCTCAGGATTATAAGAAGAAAATATTGTATGAGAACATCAAGGTGAATCTAGGCAAGTATTGAAAAACATCTACACCTAACTGGAACTTCAGTCCAATACTATCTGGTGTCATAATGACTGAAGGCTATGTACAGTATCCTTATCAATACTAATTATTAATTTATTGGGAATGAATATCACACTGCTGTTACTAAACATTTGGAATCTTAAATACACTGATTTTTCTCATGTAGAAGTCCTAGTCCCTTTTCTTAAGCTATTTCATATAAAATTACAAGTACCAAATCTTTATTTCTTATTTACTTCTTTAATTGCTTGCTCAAAGAACACCACAGTGATTCAGAAGCCATTTCTAAAACGCAAAATGTCCTCAGCTCCTGTTGATTTTTTTCCCTCATTTAATTTTGAAAATCTAAAATTTCTACTCTAAAATTATTGTCTTAATATAAAAAGAAGCACATATAGTAACTCACACTCATTGTTTTGTTTGTTTGTTTTTACTAGCCTGTATAAACACAATTACTCACCTTCCATTTTCACTGCAGTACACAAAGAACTAATCTTACAAATTTTGAATTCTTATGTTGAGGTGGCCCACACTGGAAATAGTTAAAGAATTGTTCATTTCATCAACTGTTAATCTATTCTGCCTGAATACCAATTTCAGCCCCTGCTGCCTAAGACCACAACTTAAACCTACATACTTACGAACACTGATTTCACTCAAACATTGCATATAATTTTAAAAAAACATTAAAATAAGCTGATTTAAGTAATGTGTGCAAACAGGCTTAATTTTGCTTTTCTTTTAACCTAAGTCTTCATTAAATATTTTCTTTTCATTCATTTTTTCTTTTTTTCTTTGTTTTTCAGAAATGGTGAGTTTAATGCAGCTATGGTCTTTTGTCAGTCCTGAATAGCTACCACTGTATTGTTAAAGTTGCTTTAGAATACGTCTTACCACGATAAGAACACTTCTGAAACTGGACAATATTATCTTGCTCACACAACTATGTGAAGATTTAAGTCTTTTATGTAGCCAGATTAATCCCCGTCACTAGCTTTCAACACAGGCTGATCAATGCTTTCTTTGCTCTTTGTTTATTTTGTACAGTGTGTATTTAAAGAACCACTTATTGATTAACTTTACTCTTTTTCTTAGACAACTTTGTTCATTTTTTTGATATCCTTTAAATCTTTCTTTCTGTATTGGACTCCACCATTTTTTCTCTCCAACATCTTAAAATATAGTCAGTTAAGCATTTTTCCATCCTCTAATCTTCCACACTGACTTTTAAAAGACTCCCAACTTCTTACTGATAGAAAAGTAATGTCTCTCTCTGTAAACTTAGAAGGCCTCATTGTTACCTTGATTTAACCTCATTATTGCTCTAAATACGTATAGCACAGCTGAGATCCTCTCTAGCCAAGGTGTACTGAATAGGGCCTTTAAATAAGGCACAAGGCTATAGCTAAGTACTGCAAAGCACTTTTGCTCTCACAGAACAGAAAGCTGTAGAAATGCAATGTGTAGAAAATAGAAGAACTGAAAATTCCTTCTCCTTGTCTGAATATGTGCATTGACTTGTGCATACACATATTTACATACTGAAACAAACTTCCCAAGGTAATCTAAAGTGTGACTGAATTTTATGATAAGTCTCTCTTTATATACATGTATTCATATATTCCTTGTGAAGTAAATCACCTTAATTACACTTTATTGAAATAAATACTCTAGGGAGAAGTTTTTTCATTTAATGAGCAGCCAAGAAAATATTTCATCTAAAAAAACCCAAATATAAACTGCCAAGGATATACCTGGATAATCCAGATGATTAAAATGACAGAACATGAATTCCACTAAGCATTCAAATTATATATACAAAATACACAACATACACCAACAGAAATACAACCACAGACCACAGTGCTGAAAAAGAACATACTAAACTGTTTAGACAAAGACTATTTTGCATAATGAAACTTATGGAAAGATCTTCTCAGAACATAAAGACAAGACAAACTCACATGGGACATGAAGCTTGTTGAAAGTCTGGGTTCCCATAGACAAGTCCCCATTCAACTGTGCGTGCTGTTACATGTTTAGCCCATTTTTGCTTATAGTATTGATTCTTTCTTATTTTCAGTCCTGCTATAAAATTATCTCTCTCCCCCTTCACCTCTGTCATGTCACCCCACTGAATGTAAACTTCTTGTGCCTTAAAGCTTATCTCACTCATTAGCTACCCTTATAAAACACAAAATGACCACTGGGGAACCAGGAACACAAGGTTTCTTCCAGCACTCACATCAGAATCAAATGTCATCTGTCTGTTACCAAAAAGAGTACATGCTATATTCCAGGTACTAGGATTTGGGGTTTTTTTCATTCTCTTGCTCTTTAAAATGTTCTCTTACAGGCTATCTTCTGTCTGCTTTATGTATGTGGGAAGACGCATTGAAGCATGCACATAAGTCTTTACAGGATTAAAAAGTGTAGGGTAGACACATTTTTCTCATGATATTTACTTCTAAAGGATATGGTAGTTTTGTTGTGTAAAAAAGCTAAAATTTGCCTCTTCTTTGTGACTTTATTATAAAAGGAAGACCACTGGTACAAGGTCCTTGAGAAACAACCACGTATGTTTCTAACCATATTACTGAGAAAAAATAATTTCGTTAATTAAAACAGATTATGTTAGGCTTTGTTAGCACCTAAATCCACAATATCATTACCAGACATAGTCACTGGATCCTCTAATTCTATTGTGTATTTTCTGAACTCATTGAAATATCTTTGAAAGTTATTTCAAATATGAAGAACAACATTGTGCATGCAGGCTAAGCAAAATGATTACAAGACAAAAACAGTAGCTTTCCCACTTGTGGTGCTTATTTCAATGGCTCTTGAATAAAATCTCAATATGGTAACAAGTACCACATAGAATAATTCTTGAATATTCAAACTGAGCCAACCGAGAAATTATGACATTTACCATACAAATTATTTAAGTATTGCTCTATAAAGAAAAAAATGTTAATAAATGTGCAGATTAATTTTTCTGTTGAAGTTTTTACTTCCAGCCCCAAAACCAGCACCATGAAGCCTAACACCACAAAACCTAACAGCATTCAGCATTCCCTTGCCTTCCTTGCTCCCCTCCCCTCCATGGACCTGCTCTGCATTGCTATGAGTAACAACATGCTATAGAATAAATATGGAAAGCCCAGTATCTTGCCATTGGTATGTATGACAAACAATTACCTTCCATGTGCTTTCTCCCACCAAAAAAAAGACAATGAAAACTTCATGAAAATAATTCTACGACTTATTTTTCACCAGAAAATTTAGACATGTTCTTCTTAACCTTTTTCTCAATCCCTGCTACTTATGAGTTAACAGAGGAAGCATGGCCTAATGGATAGAACATAAAAACAGCTTTTCCTCAATAAATTACAAGACAGCAGTAAGGCAGGCTTTCTGTTTGTCTCCATGCAAAAAATAAACCATGCAGGTGCAGCAAAGTAGGCACTGTCACTTCTGCTATAAGCTCACTGCCACATACTTTATTTCCCTTCATTCCCTGCCTGTGCATCATCTGACATACCTCGTAGCATTCCATATTGTATCGGAATGTCCTGCAGAGCCAGAACCTTGCTACTGAGGTGAACTTCAACAGTACCATTTGCCACTCACACTCTTATTGTTGTCCTGCATCCTCAAAGTCCCATATACAACAACAGAGGAGGAGGACTATGTGGAAACCCCACTCTCCACATCAAGATTTCTGATAAAATACGGATTCCCATAAGCTAAAAGGCAAGAGAGTAGTTAAAGTATATTTCTGAATCTACTTAGATTCATGTGTGGTAAAGTGCTGAACTATATATGGCATTCTAAATTTAATTCATGAAGAGAACAAAAAAAGCCTTCATGTTCCAAAAAATCTGTGATTGCCTCAGCATCAGACTTTCAACTCTCCCAAGAGTGTTCTCTGTTCTTCTACTCGCAAAAACCTACAGTACAGATTCACTGCCATATGCTGTAGCTTGTGCTAAAGCAGAATGATTTAACAGCTGAAATGCTACAAGCCACACTTCACAAATTTCTTCTTTGACCTCGGCTAAGACCCTTGCGCTTTCTGTAACGATGAGGATAACATTGCCTCCTCCATTTCAGTGATTGACATGACAAAATTTAATATAAACATATTAACCTCCAAAGGAATGAAGTCTATGCAAATATATGAAATAGATAAACCTACCCCAGATAATTCTGTTCCAAAATCTTAAGAACATACACATCACTTTGCATAAAATATCATGTTTTATTCTAATTCTCAGCTACCTTTATTAGACACTGAGTTTTCTTCCTTTAACTTTTATCCACCTGGGTAGAATTTCCCTTATAAAAGGACTTCAAAACACTTAGGTTCACAAATTAGGAGCGGAAGTTTGTATCTGCTGTCATTTACAGAAAGGGCAGTAGTAGAGTCACCATCCCTGGAGGTGTTCAAGAAACGTGTACACGTGGTGCTTAGGGACGTGGTTTAGTGAGTTAGTTGGTGTGGGCTGACAGTTGGACTTGATGATCCTTCAGGTCTTTTCCAACCTTAATGATTCTATGATTCTGAGATTAATTGCACAGATTCATATTTCAAAATGGAATCAGAGCAAGCTGCCTTCTGCTGGCAAAAGTTCATAAAGCACTTCATAGGTTCAACAGTGATTCTCTCTTGGAAAGAACCGTTCGATGATTCTGGTTGTAACACAGATTAACAAAATACATTTTCTTCTACTTGCAGAAAATGCACAGCAAAAGTATCTTAATGAGAGAAAAGTTAAATAGTTGTAGCCCATAATGTACTATAATTGCACGATATTACACATTGTTTGACCCTAGGTATTTAACACCAGTGAGATCATTTTCTGCACACACAGAAGGCAGAAGAGGGAGGCCTAAGTGTTCACCCTATTTGACGGACTTATTCTGACTACTTGATTCTACAATGTTAAAGTTTCATTAGCATTGGTTTTGCATGAGATATGAAAAATGATGCAATGAATTGCATATAATGTTATAGACTCATCATGAAAAGGGATGCCTGAGCTCTCAACCAG